CTCCGATTCTCATGATTATATCCACATGCTAGTTAAGAAAGTAGAAGAATTCTCTAAGAATCAATTCATTCTCTGTAAATAGCTTTACAACATACTTGTGGATAACTCCTGTGATAGGCTCTTCTTCAGTTTCCAACTATCACAGCTCTTTTATTTTTTTTTATTTTTTTTATAATAACACCACGAGTGGCGACATGAAGTACATAATGACTTGTAACTATGTTGGGTTAAAGTGTCAATGATATTCTGCTTTAGTGATGTCAAAGCTGAAACTTGCCACACTAACCTACTCCCAAATCTGTAGTCAAACACCTAATTTTCCCTTTCCTGTGTTATCAACTTGGTTGCAAAAGGGTTGCTAGTGCATACTTTGAAATCCAGTCGTTAAAGTTCTCTTCTTTTTGCAGTTGTATTGGGGAAACCCTGTAAAACCTTGTTACCAAATTAACTACATTACAATCTCAATATCTCAAAAGTGAAATATAATCGGCTTATCATGTGCATGAAGTGCTCCCCAGACCCCATGTCTGTTCTTATTTCCTGAAGAGTTCTCTACAGATGAAAACGTTTGATGTTGTTCCTAGATCAACTTGTCATTTCTAGGCAATTAATCAAAATATATGTTTTACCATGGTTTATTATCAAAGTGTACTTACTGATCAAAAAGAAAATTATTAAATATACTTAGATACTTAAGTTAGCCTTTGCAAGTTGCAACTGCTCTGATTAGACAGCATCAGTAGATATCGCTGGTCATCCTGTCTTCTATTGCGGTTGAGTTGTTGATTGTTTCCATATAATAAAAGAGCAAGTAAAGGTTCAATGACTTTTCAGTTAGCTGAAAAAGGTGGTTCCTTCACCTCATATCAGGACCAGATTTGAGCTTAAGTTGTACAATGAGATGAAAAGTTCACAAGTGTTTCTTGTTTTAAATGGCAGATAAATGTTTGACCGAGAAGGTATATGATACACCTAGCAACAGATTGAGAAAATACAAGCGCTCTGCATCTTTCAATTCAAGAAGAGTTGTTCTCCTTTTCTCAGTCATGTAAGTTTAATTCCTGAATCCGTTCTTTTCATGTTATGCTTCTTTCCTTTTTGGTGCTAAAAACATTGCATTCGTTACATTCATTACCAATACTATATTCATTTCTCATAATCTGTTGAGTTGATGTAGTTTGTGTATCAGCAGGCTCGGGTCAACAAGAGTGAGGCATAAGCCAAACTTCACAAAGAAGCCCTAAAAAAAAATTTAGCTTTTAAATTTTGATGTCAAATCATATTTTCTAGTTGACATATTTAAATTGAATAAATTCTTATAATAACTAAAACAAGAATATTTATCTAAAAGTACTTAGTTGATTTATTAATCTAAATCTGACCGTTGGGTCTATTTGGCCCAAAAAAAAAGAGAATATATATCTAAAACAAGAATATATATTTATGAAGTAAGAATATCAACAATGACAAAATTTAGTGAAAAAATATAATATAAAATTTGAATAATAAAACCTGACTCGGAAATTTGGTAAGTTGATAAAATGATATCGAACTAATGTTGTGTTGCTACAATATAATGATTGGCTGTTGCAATGCTTGAAATTTTTGCAGAATGCAGAAGGTTTGGTTAGACTTTACAATAGAAAAATGAAAAAAGTAAATATAGGGAAAATGTGGTCCATGTTAGTTGTTATTGGATATTAATGAGGTAACAAAAAAGTACCCACATAAAAAAAAACTACAATTACCTAAAAACTATTTCATTTCCCAATTATTGCAACGATCCCCACATTAAGGTAAAAAAATATTTTACTTTCTACCCAAAAATTTCTCTTCAAATCCAACAATACATAGGATTTTCTTTTAAAATAAAATATATAGAACACATCCTTAGGAAAAAGTGCATCCCCGAAAAAGTTGGGGCCCCAAGCCATTGCTTTAGTGGCTCTATAGTAGAGCCGGTTCTTTGTGGAAATAGATGATGAGAATGAACTGTCAGGTGCAAACATCTGCATGAATGAATATGGAACAAGTATTGCACAACCAACCATAATAATTGAGGGTATAAATGTTTCACCAAGCTAATCGTTTTGAAAGCTATGGATTTGTACTGCTTGTCATCCCTTGATTTTGAATATTGTAGGTTATAACTACCAGAAAATGGTAGACTGTAACATGGTTTCTCAATGAACAAATGTAACTTTCAAGTTCTATGCTCTCTTTTATCGAATACACGTGCAAGCACCCATGTCCTTTTTTCTCTCTGTCATTGTCTGATTTTTGGTTGTCTGAGTTGGAGATGGATATTTATTATTAGAGCTGCAAGTAATGCAGACAGGATAGGAATAATAAGGTTAAAAGGATGTGATTGATGTTGTTTATTATAAAGATGCGTAGGGTTGCTTTAATTTTGGGATTTGGCAGGGCAAGATGTTATTTGGTCATTAGATCTTGAGTTACGGTGTTTAGACAACTTAATGACCGGGTGGGTGAGTGGGTGGAGAGATGGTGAGGGGGAAGATTATTTGTTTTTAATTGCATGGAATTCTTTGTCAAAGCCTACTGATCAGAGTTGAATGCAGATGTTAAGATGTCAGTTTACTACTATACAAAGTGTTTTGTCTTGATACTCACAAGTTGTTGGTAGGCTAATCTCTAGAGATGATTCTACTTGGAAAAAAGCTGAGAAAATGCATCGATTACCTATTTAATCATTAAAGAAAATATGGATGAGAAAATAGCCAATACAGAGTAGGTCAGTCTCTACTGAAGATTCATTGTAATGGTTAAATATTCTTGAAGGAGAAATATAGATGATATGGCTATGGGGCACAGAAGCATAAGCATAATCATCTGTAAGAAGGAAGAAATTGGAAATTAGTCATGTGATGTTGAGTCATTCAAGAAGTTGTTTGTCTTCTTGGCAGTATTGTTAATATAACAACTTATCTATCCCTACGCGATTGATGGTTACACATTTCGGTAAATTAAGTGTGAGCCAGTATGTTGAAGATGTTGATGCAACTTTAGTTACATGACACCTCTTTTGCTCCATATTGTACATATATTTCTTCTGGCGTTTAGTTATCGCTTCTATACAGCTCTAGCAATCGACTAAAAGTATCTTCCTTTTTCAGGTCGTGCATGGGGACGATCGTACTCATTTATCTTACTCTAAGAGTTAGAATGAGTGGTGATTGGGCTGCTAATGTTTAGCATCTACTTCTCCTCTTCCTGTCGCGTTCGCGTCCATCATTTGTGGAAAGAGTTTGCTAGGTGACACTTTTGAATGAGCTCTCTTTCTTGCTTGTATTTTATCTTAATGTTCCATGAGTAGGAATCGTTCTTCATCTGTACATAAAGTTAGCAGTTAGTATACCAATTGGTTTCTAATTTAAGTTTCTCTTTTTTATAATGTAAGTGAACTATTCTATCTTCAATATAAATTGTTATTGATGAAAAATCAATACCAATGGTAGCCTACATAACATAATGAAATAATATCATGTAACCAAAAAAAACTTGACATATTCAAAATGCTACACTTTAGGATATGTTTGTACGAAGACTTTACACAAGAAAATTCGACTCTTGTTAGTTTGGTTTATAGATTTAAAAATCTGTCATAAATGATTTGATTTGATATTTTAGAAATCGAACTAACCTGGACCCTGGTCCATATGCACCCCTAGTGAGTAGTGATCCTATTCGATTGATAGTTGTAACAGTTTAATTATTGGATTTGGATTTGCTATTACATGAAGTTGAAAAGATATCCTTTATTTTCAAAGAAAATAAAATGTTTCTTTAGCAATATAAATTGTTTTCTATTACTTTCGCTCAATATTGTTATAATTTGTAATTGTACACCAGGGGTGTTCGTGATTCGGTTTGGATTATTGATTACAATTAAAACCAAACCAATCTAGTTGGTTTTTAAAATTTCTAAAACCAAACGAAAAAAATAACCGTTGGTTTGATTTTTTTCTGGTTTATTTGGTTTGAAGTAATAATTTTTTTTGAGAAAGTACGTATCTCGATAGACACAAACACCTAGTACAAAAACAATCCACAAAAAAACTATTGTCGGATCAATTAAGCGATACTAGAATTATCATTACACGAACAAAGTGATTCAATTAAGAGAAAGTGCGACTATTTTATGTGAAGAATGATAGGTAAAGACAAATGGATTTTGATGAACTTGGACTTAGGATTGTTTTAGTTGGGCTTGAGAAAATGGTAAAGTAAAGACTTAAGTTAATTAAAATTTAACAAAATATTTATATTTTATTTATGAATAAAATATAAATAACTATAAAAGTTATATATCTAATTTATCGGTTCGGTTTGGTTATTTTTGCAGTTGTTTTTTCTTAGTAAAATCAAAACCAAACCAAATAATATCGATTTTCAAAATTTAAAACCAAACCAAACCAATTATCAATTTTTTTAATCGGTTTGGTTCGAATTGCGGTTCAATTTAATTTTTTAACCATAACCATGAACAGCCCTACCATCAACGAATTGGTACAAAAAGTACACTTTCTTATCCATTTCTTGACAGTACATACATAGTATAAATGTGGACATGATCAACGATGGTTATGGTAACAAATGTCTCAAGTCTTAGGCTGCTTTAACCCCACTTCTGCTCAACATCGATCCTCTCACATACTTCCTCAAGCAGCGGAAGACTCAATGCCCAAGCAGTTACACGTTGTTAATTTCAGACTCCTCCGGTAGAGCCAACAACCATTTAGTGAATTGTCTTGTGTTACTAAGTTTCAAGACGTTCACTGAATCCTTCATGATGTTTTGGTGGCAGGTACTAAAAGTTTGCGGCTTATTTTAAGAAGAATTGTAACCTCCACCTTTTTATAACTTCATATATTATATTAAGAAGTTGCGTTGAATGAAAGTAGTATATGTCTTGATTAGTAGATCATTGTCAATTCCAAGTAATATGGTAAATAGGCTACAAAATATCACTATATGTATATGCAAAAACTCTCATGCTAAACATTTATTCCCTTTCGATCTATTTTAGTTATCGTGCTTACTAATAATAATTACAATATTACATAATAAATGAGTTACTGAAAATATATGATCAAATAATACTATGCCAAGACAGGTACCATATCATTACACCTATGACCACTCTATACCTTGCCGTTCCCACTCTCATCCCGTACAACTTCGATAACAATGCAATAATTGTGAGTAACCTGAGAAATTATTATGGCAGTTAAATCAATCATATATTTAACCAAACACTGTTTACTAGAATTATCTAACTCATATATGGACTTGCAAGTATCTTGATCTTATGCTCCCCTTAACAATCTGATATTCGCAAGACCTTGAGACAATTATCCTTGCTTAGACGTGTGGCGGGTGACAATCCATGCTCTATGCTAGCCCAGTTCTAAGCGCATTGTCTAGGCTGTCTATAAGTCACTAACATCTTCAATCCCAACAGGAATTTGACGTACATCCTTAGTAGCCTCACGTACTGCAACGAGTATAGCCACATGGGACATGAAACAAGGCAGGCTTATGAGTGACTTGACACTTCCTGCAAATTTCAAGACCAGAAATGAGATTGATGACATTTGATCTTTAATATTGGATACAGTATACTCACCAAAACTGACTGTAACACTGAAGTATTTGATAACCTTTGGCCACATGCTTAGAAAGTGCCAATGACTCTGTCAGAAAACTCAATACAGATGCTGCACCTTTGGCCTGTAACACCAACAGGGAATGTCCAACGCCAATGGAAAATCATACAACTAATGGTAAACCAAGAATACTAAAGTTAGGACTAAAATCTTGAGAATAGTGAAAAGATCTAGTAGGATGGCCGGGAAAACAGCATGGTAATCTTCTTCACTCGAGAATGGGATGATAAAAACTCAGCTATCTTTTGTGCATTTTCCTGCCATATTGTGGAAACACACAATGTCCATATATTATGCAACTATGACAGAATTTTTTCTGAATGTTATGATTGTCAGGCAAGCACTCACCAATAAAAGTAGAGAGGAAACAAGAACTCTGAATTCAAGCTTTCAATCAAGCCAAGAGATAAAAGATAGCAAAAGAATTCTTAAATAGGGAGCAGAAATATTATAAAAAGACATCAGAGAGCTGATATACCCCTCGTTATAAAAAGTGGCTCATATATACCCCTACTGTTATACAAATGGCTCACATATACCCTTTTCCTCTAACGGAAGTGAAAAAATTAATTTTAGTTTAATTTTTTTAATTATTTTTAAAAAATATAATCCCATATGGGTATATTTAATCTTCCTCAAACATATATTATTATTATTATTTTTTTGTTTCAATGACTAATTTAGATTTATTATTTTGTACATGGACCTTAAGAAATTAATGCAAGAGGAATGGAGCTCAATAACTAGTAAAGTATAAAAGGAAGTCATATATTTATAAAGGTACTTGTTTGTCTTTGCCCACAGTTGAAGATTTCTGAGTCTGAGTTGAATTACTTGCTGGAAGTTCCAAATTGCACATTCAGACTCGTCTTGTGATTCATCGCCACAAAACGAGTAGGACTTCCAACTCGTCTTATTGGACGTTCCAAGACGAGTAGCATTTCCAACTCGTTTTGTGATTCAGCGCCACACAGACACAACCAACTGTGTACCTGGAAGGAGGTTTCCAGGTCTAGCCTGATTACCAAACCTTTGGAAGATAATAAATTCAAAGAACCTAAATGAAAACGATTAACAGACCTACTGGAAGAAGATTATGGGCACCACCAAACAACTCCTTCAGAGTAATGCAAATCATGGCATTGGGTAATGGGCTAATGGCTTTGTCAATTGCTCTGAGAGAGGAGTAATGACTCCATGCTTATGTCAACCAAGCTCTTGAGAGCTAACGCTGTTCATGGTGCCAAAAAAAAATTGACAATCAAGTCACTCTCACAGCTTCAGTAAATAAAATGGATCTAGCAAGTAATAACAACACAGAAGACTTAAATCAAAGCCTTACTCCAAAATCTCATAGAATATCTGGGAGTAAGGCTTTTAGGACAACTTGTTGATCGAAGGTGTCATGCTGTTTCCACCATTTAAGCTTCCATTGGCTTTCTTCGCCAATGCCGACGAGTCATCCACTACATCAAACAAGCTCACCTTCCTTTTCTGCATCGTTCCCGTCCAGAATATCTAAAATCCATCACAAATTCAAAATCCTCAATAAAACAATTGCAGATACACTGAAACATCGGAGAACAAGCGACCAGGATTTTAGGTTTCTGTCAGTTCTAGGTTTACAAGGAGGGAAATGAGAAGAGGGAGGGAAGATAAGATTAGGAAAAATTCGCTTTCAAATTGTTTATATTACTCTATTTAGTACCAACTTTTTGTGGCTATTCTCTTCAATGGCCAGTGAAAAGGTCTTTACTCTCGGCTAATGTCTAATTGCCGCTAATAGTTGAGAAAAAGGAATAAATCACTAACATCTAATTAATTGCCATTAAAGGTGTTTCTTCTGGTAGTGATAAAAGATGGCATCCTGTTTTGGAAATGGATATCCACTTAGTATCTCCAAGTTTGCAGGGTCAAGTTATAATTACCACCATAGAAGGAAACAATTACAGAGTTCTGTTTGCTTGAGATAGAACTTAAAGAAGTGCCAACTTTGAATAACAGACATGTGTTGACCAGATCTGCCGGAAGGAATAAAGTCTGGCCATCATGAACTTCAAACGCATATTCAGTTTCAAGCTTCTTTGCCCAATACTTTCACAGAGAAGGAAACTTATACCTTGCTGGAAGGGTGATTTCAACCCTAGTGATTGGGTTAAACAGACTAACAAAGTGATTTTAGGAGTGTCATTTTCAATAGAAACTAATCATCCATGGGAAGAACGGCAAAACTCTTTATTACCAAGGACCTCTGGGACCTTAAGGTAGTGACCAACTCTTCTTTCATGTATGCTAATAAGAAACCTTACATATTTTTCGTTTGTATAATCATCACGAGACAGCAGCAGCCATGGCTGAACTCCCTTAATACTAGAAATAGTTTGTAATACTGACCTCCATGAAGTACAAACACATGTGACTCGGACTTTATTAGTAATGTAACAAGACAATGATCTATCAACCTCAACAATTCCTGCGGAAGCTCTGACCAACCAGCCATTTACAATCTGATACATCAATAAGGAATGTGAGATATAATATTAGAGCAAAACAATAATCAAACAACTTACAAAGTATCACACGAACTTAGTATAACAACCAAAAGAGATGATTACTAAGCAGTAAGCAAACATGCTGTTTGTTACAATTCGGACAACAATCATAATGAGTACATATATATCTATCTACATGTCGTTTCAAAGCATAAAGATCTGCAATCTGAACTGAGGAATTTAGAGGTTAGCTCACCCTTGCGGGATCGCAACTATATAGCTTCAGAGAAGGAGTTCTCTAACAAATTATTGCTACCTGTACTACAGTGTTCATTCTTTCCCCACCACTTATTCACCAAATTTACAAGGTTGATTCTAGCTCATTGAAGTGCAACACCAGATCATACGAGTAAATATAATCAACAGGAATTTATACAAGAGGATTCAAAATAAAGATGGCAACTTTTTCTAATATAATTCTAATTCCACAAATAATTGCAAAAAAATAATTTCACTCCAGCAATGACAGCTTATAGTGCTGCTTGACAAATTCCTAGGAAATAATAAACCATAAGGTTCTAAAAAGCAACAGCTTTACTACGATCAATTAAGTAATTCTTCAAAAACCAATATCAAAAGAGCATAGGGAGCTATAATAATCAAACAGGTGTCAGAAAATTGTTGTAGAGCATGAATCTGAAAATTTACAAAAAAGCAGCAAAGAAGATTTACCTAAAACAAATTGAAAAGCTTGAACATTCACAATCGGTTTGTCGAGCGATCGAGATAACCTACCAATAACAAGGATGGATGCACAAGGTTTTATAGCCTTACTGATTTCTAGTTCAGATAATTTCTCTTTCCCCAACCTGATCTGGTTTTGGAAATTACACCCATATTTACCAAAAGTAGCAATATTTTTCAGTTTACCAAACATAACAGGAGTTATGTATACAAAATCAGGCTTCAAATCTCGCTCAAGGCTTCAAATTTCACTCACAAGTTCATGTATAAATTTTGTATGAAATATGTATATAATGGTATAAATTTTGTTTTAAAACGTATACAAAATCTGATATAATACGTATAAAATCTGTATTAAGATTATATTCTTCAAACATCTACGACAGGCATACATCTTAACAACAATTTTCAGAGGACTAATTATACAGTATATAACTTATTTACAGCTTTCATACTATTCATACCAATTTAATAAAGCTACAACAATCTTATTGATAGACACGAAGATTTAAGTAATTTAATTCAACGTTCTAACATATCAGAAAAAATTCTAATGTCATTTAACTACAAACTTGAAAATTTGACAAAAAAATTACTATTCCTAATGTCATGACTATATAAGGAGATAATGAACTTCTATGGATAAATTGTAACTTTGTGATAGATAAAGTAATTTTTCAGTGATTCTATCAAAACTTTTATTGAAAAATTACAATTAATTGTAGCTTGAAATATTTAAATAAAAAGGTGATGATATGGAAAGACGATTTAATGTATTACTATATCACTATATGGGAAAATTTATAAATTTGTATATTAAAAAGACTTTTAAATGGTATCTAATTCTATATAATACACAATTATTCTAATTATCATAAATAAAAGGTTTCATTTTTTTTTAGATTTTAGTTTGAGATGTTCAAATGAGCGACTAAATTAGGTTAAGTTTCTATTTCTCATTAATTAGTACATATGTCTATCTTGTTGGTTCTGATTTTTCCTGCCTCTCGTACATTTGTTCTTTTTCCTTTTTATGATAGTTTTATATTCTGTTTTAAACTTAATTTTTCTAAATCAACTATTTTTATATATTCATTTTAAGGTTTTTGAATGAATAAATCCTCAAAAGGATAAATTTATAGCTCCACATCTAAAAGAGGTTAAAAGAGTAAATGTAGAAAAATAAAATCATAATTTTATTTAAAATATTCCTGACATTTTATTAAGTTTTGGCTTTTGGCCATTACTTGTAGAGAGCCACCTCTCCTATAATACAAGGATTAGTTAGGTAGGATTTAGTTATCTTTATAAAAGTTATTTCATCTTTTACCCTGCATAAATAACACATAAATTCCCTCATAACTCATACATATATTAGAAATGCAGGACTGTAATCAGGTAACCAAACACCGTACTTGTTGTGATGAATTTTATACCTAGAAAATAAAATGCTACTTAACATAGTACCTATTATGATAGTTTCAATATATGACCGTGAACCAACCCCTCTTCAGTATAGGCAGGTCTTTCTTTAGAACAGATTCATTCCAGAACAGAAAACCAAATTGAGAATCAGAATCGCGCTTGGAGCCTATCGCTAGAACGAACAACACACCAGCGACCAGACTTGCTACGCTAGTAGGGCTTGTGGGAAAAGCAAGAGATCTTATTTTATCCTTAAGAATAGTGGGGGCCGAATCAACTGGGTCACCAGAAAAGAACCTCTACTTTAGCAAAAATCATAAGAGAAGAAACGTTCACAGAAGGTTGAGAAATAGTACGCCCGGTTCACCAGGTTCTACCACTGCAGGGCCTGTAAGGAGAGGAGGGCATGGAAATTTGACTTTGATGGAACGACTAATCAAAATGGGTACGGAGTAGGGGCATTACTGATCATAACCACCAACCAAACGACTCCTTAGTTTGTGGTTTTCTAATGGCACAACATCAACTCAATGAATGACCATTTTGGTGAGTTCTGATTGACAATAAGAATATGTAGGCTATAGAGAACCTTTTTATCTTTATTCATCAATCACATATTTTACATACGAAAAGAGAGGCAGCAAGATGTTGAAACAATTGCAAATATTAATGTGTTGTAGTAGTATCTTGATAAATTTACAGTAGGAAAAATTCATTAGTTTATTCTACCTTTTCCCTCCCCCTTTATGTTCATTGGACGAAGAATTGCTTGTAAGGGATGTGGTATGACTTATTTGCGAAGCAAATGCTTATAATTATTTATTTGGTAAAACAACAAAAACTACGACTCAATCTCAAACTAATTTGCATAACGCTTCATTTATGCCCGTTTCATTATCACTACCTTGAACAATGCCCGTTAGCGATACAAGTTACTACAAGATGCCCTCTTTCTTGAAGCTAGAACAGAGACCTTATAATTGTAAAAAGGAACGGGAATTTTGATCTGCCAGATACTTTCAGTAACCCAAAGGAGTTCTTTGAGCTTTAACAGTAACATGATCATATTGTCTCACAATAACTAACACAATACGATAAGCTAAAGTTAGATAATAGTTGGGCAACAGTAACAATTTCCCCTTGAACATAGAGCAATTAAAATACAACATGTTTTAGCGATGAGCAACAAAACTAACTTACGCTAGATGTGTAGCTGCAAATTATGCTACATTCTTGAACATCCAAAATAACTTAAGCCATACGTCTGCACTTCTGAGCAAGATTCTCAAAAATCTTATGAACATCAGCAGATGTAACTGGATTTGATGGATCAATGGATGCCTGTCAAGAAAATGAGGATGGTAAATAAATGGCCAAAACCTATATACAGAATAAATGGGACATACCAGTTAAAGAGTAATAATAAGGGAGAGGGATAAAGAGGATTTCGTTCATCCAATATTTGTTTATATACCAGTTAAAAAGTAATTAGTTCAACAATGAGAAGTTTGGTTCTACTTTTGCATCTCTTCATCCAATAAACTGGTTAAATAGTTGTATCACCATTCACCACGGGCGATAACAAAACTCAGTTTGCAAATGGAACAACCCTCCTCATGTCCTATTCTGGAGTGGTTTGTGAACTTTAAGGTTTCAGATTCCATGGATTTACTCAAATTACGGATCAGAAATTCTAGTGTACAAACTTCTAATGTTTATAAAAGTTAGACATGCAAAAAAAATTGATGAAGTAAGAAGTTTCATTGACAAAAGGCAAAAAAAAAAAAAAGGCAACAGGATGGTGCCATATTAAAGCAGATGAGCTTGACAACTTTTGGAGTAGAAACAAAAGCTAGTGAGTTTTCAGAGTAGAAACTTAGTTACATAACACAAAAACCATGGAGCTAACAAAGTCCAGGAAGTTGTCAATGGCAACGCTATTAACAGGGGAGAGAAAGCTCCAACTGAACAAAAAACCCAAACATCTAGCTTTTAGGGTATGAAGAAGAGTTGAAATACCATAAAAAATTACATATGCAAACAGCCAAAATCTTTACATAGTTAATCATATCACTATACAAGAAAAATTATATCACTATACAAGTATGGATATCATCACTTCAAACAAAGGTTAGATGGCAATAATAGAGCGGTTTCTTTATCAATACAACATTTATTATAGCCACTTAACTGAAAAAACAGAATAAGACCAAACAATTTTGTCTCAGGTCAGGTCAGTCCAGACATTAGTAAGCAATCTATTTCTTGCATTTATTTGTTTCTCCATCAGTATATTCGTCATCATCTCTTTCTAATTTAACGCCATCATAGAAATGTTGATGCTCCTAATACGCTTCCAAGTAATCCAATGAGACAACACAAAGTTCCTGATTATTTTCGAAAAAGAAAATTTATTTACATATCTATTGAAGATGTTCATTTTATTAATGAGTGGAAGCATCCTAAAAAAAACACTATGGCAAATTACATTTTCTTTGATAAATCCTATTGTCATGTGAAAAAGAGCAACAGTGCTCCAAAGAAAGAGTATAAGGAGAAAATGTTCAAGAACAACACCATTGGCTCTGCTAAAGAGTCTAGGTGCGAGTATTCAATAACATATCCAGAAAGCATAATGGCCTCGGCCAAAAGATTGAGATTCAAGGATCTAGTTAGGCTCCAGCTGAATTGGTTGAGAAAGGAAGATATGGAAGTGCTTACAAGGTGAAAGCTGATGTAACACCGGTCACTAGGAATAAGGGTCGGGTAATTTGAAAGGATGACTTCAGGAAGAGGATATATCAAAATGAAGAATCTCAAATATTACTTTGTTGCTTCTATTTTTTCAGGCCATAGAGGCTAACAATTATATGAGTACAAGCAAAAATGACAGTATGTTTAAGCATCTCAAACATATATTTATTCTTCTGCGTGAAACTCATTTTAACACCTCGAAGAAACAACTTCAATACACAGTTTATTGAAGTAGAGTAATAGAAGAATCTTACAACCTCTTTTGTTTCTACAGACAGCTAGAAGATAATTACATCAAATATCATTTAGTATATCAATCACAATGGTGATTGCTCCTCAATATTATTAGATCTTGAAGAGTTTCCAGTAAGAAACTTGAAATAAAGACAACATTGATGTAGTGCAGATTCCAACATAACATACCTTGAAGCCAGGTAGCATAACCACTGACGAGAGTATCTTTGTCCAATTCTACGAAAACAACAAAGATGCATCACCAAGTCTGAAGGTAAATGACATAATCTAAATACTCTTTAAAAGAATCCAGTCGACTTCGGGGGTGAAACAAGAACACATAGAATAATAATAAAATTGTAAACACAGAAAAATGACTCACTTAACATAGAGTTGGTGTGACCCAAATTGGAGGACAAACGCGACTGGGGGAAACACCATCATAATGCGGCTGGATACTGCCATCTGCTAAGTTGAACACTCCCATGTACAAGCCGCCTCCTTCTTCGAAATAGAGGTATGCACCTAAACAATTATCTGCAAAATATATATGATTGGGCTTGATTCCTGGAAATAGAGAAGCTTGGACCGAAAAAGAGGCATTAGCACCCAGGAAAAAAGCTCTGTCCCCTAAATCCCTAATTGGCGTATTTCTGTGAGCATCTAAATCAATATTGAAAATAACAAAATTTTGTGTTTCGTACGCATACGACATATCCTCCTCGTCATTATTTATAGTTGGGATGTACGTCAAAGGAATTCTTTCGCGATCATCTTGCACGCACCTTAAACCAACACCACTTTGCGTAACTACAAATAATGATCCTAGTGATTCTAGGATGTAATAATTACAATCAGCCAATGGTTCTAGCTGCGCTATGTTACGACTACTAGCAGGTTCAGGGCCAGCGACATCACAAACTTGGATGGAACCGCCACAACTCACTGCATAAAAATTGCCATTAAAATATAACACTTCACTAAAATGTCCAAAGTGGATGGGCTTGGTAATCCTGGTCCATAAAAAATCTCCTGGTCTCCAAAAACTCAGGAACTTGAAACTTCCCTCAATGACCATAAGAACATAGTCATCTGTATGAGAAGGATTGGCTGAGAGAACAGCTTTCTTGACAAAGTTCCATGGAATGCGAGTCTGGTAGAATTCATAAAGTTTTGTGGTATTTTGATGAGGCAGTTGGATTTGTACACCCGAAAAAGGATGCAACAGATTGATTTCACCGTCTTCTTTTCCAACAGTGATAAGCCATTCCATAGATTCCATACATCTTTTCCCATGGGTTTCCAGAATTCTCTTTTTAAAAACCATGTCATTATAGAAACTATAGAATTTCCTACAGATATTATCATCCTCATCATCACCATCACCGTCTTCCTCCTCGGCTAGCATTAGCCATGGAACCTTAGGCAAATTACTGATAAAACTGTGCTCATTGGCCACCGAATACCAGGATTTACAGACACTACTGAAATTAAAATAATCCTCAATCAAATCCAAACGACTAAGAATTACACCCAGAAGATCACTTTGAAGTTTCGACCAACCATGCATCTTTCAAGCCCTAGCTAGCGAACTGATTTGACAATAATTTTGAGAAAATGTTAGGAAAATACCTAATTTATGTCCTCACCAACACTGATAAGATGAATAAGCAAGCTGCGGTTTCTTCTTCAGTCGCAATTTTGTTTGGCGATGGGACAGCCGGAACTCTCCACGTACGGTGGTGAGACGGGGGGAGCTCCAGGAACACTGCACACTGTCAGAGTGGTGTTTGGTTGGTAGAATAAAACAATTGACAGAAATTTATCATTTACTTGTTGGATTTTGCTTTTATTTATCAAAGGGATGATAATGGGCGGGGCGGGGAAGGGCAGGGTGGAATGGAGCATATTTGTCTTCTGCGGGGGCGGGGCGAGGTAGGGTAATCTTTAGAGGACATTTCGTAAATAGCCAAAAAAAAAATAGTTAGGCTTTATAGTTATAGTATACTCCTAATTTTGATTTATAGCTACATATTAGAAAGGGAAGAGAGACGAGCGAGATTGGGAAAGGAAGGAGAGAGGCGGGAGAGAGGGAAAGAGAGGAGAAAGCCTCACGTAATTATAGCTAAAATTAAGTTGCGAGTGGTAATTAATAGAAACTATAACTATGATAGCTAATTAACTAATATATGTTAGCTTATCTTTGTAATTTTCCCTAATCTTTAAGCGAGTGTGGATTGAGCGGAGGCAAGTTGAATTTTTTCAAAAAGATTTAGGATTTGTTTGGAAAGTCACAATGTAATTTGGTGTACCTACATTTTTTGACATTTTGGTAGACGCAAAAGAAGAATTAGGTGTTATTAGTGTTTTTAAAAACATTTTTTGGGGCGAGTCCCGGACAAGTCTCGGGGCGGGGATTACCAAAAACGCTCTGAGGTGCAAATTGAACTTTTTGTTTATTTTAAATTATATTTTTATTATTGGTGTAATGATATTTTTCAAATAGTAATTATAATATTTTTTTTCTTCAATATTGCTTATTAATACCTTTCTCAAATAAAAATCATAATATTTTCTTTATATATTATAGGTTATTTATTAAAATTTATTTGTAAAATAATTGAAAGTTTTACTTTTGCTTATTTTTTCGTAATAAAATTATAAAATTGTATCTATATGAGACTACGCCCCGTAAATTCATAAAACTCACGTCTCGTGTCTCGATGCTTACATCTCGCCACATACTACATAAAACGTTTCGTCTCACGCCCCGTCTTTTAAAACACTAGTGTAATTGAAAAGGAGTAATCACACTCCTCAATTCCCAAGAGAGGAATAGGAATTGGTGTAATTACATGAAACTTTTTAAAATTATTTTCTTCCTTTTATTTACATTTGTATTTATTCGTTTTAATTTATGTTTTAATTCTATTATTTTTAATATATATTCTGTTATTTTAATATTTTCTAAAAAATATTGTTTTATTTTTTATTTTTATATTCATTCCTTCTCATTTTCAACTGTTACTTTTTCATGTAATTTCATTCAATTTTTCATGTTATTATTTATTTACTTGTTTTATTTTATTTTTTCATTAGCAGAATTTTATTAGTATTCTAATTTTAAAATTAAGGTATAATTCATTGTTGAATAAGGTTATAGACTTAGATTTTCCTTTTCTTTTAAATCATATTTATGTACGTTATGTTGAAATTTGACATAAGAGTAAGATGTTAAACTTTTTTGTTTTAAATTTACAACTTATGTTATATTTTCTAGGGTTAAGGGTTTGAAAAATACCCCAACTTTGGTCGGATTTGCTGTTGCGATACTAAACTTTCATGAGGACCTATTACTTCCCTAGACTATTTAATACCGTATTTTAAACATATATATTTGCCCACGTGGACATAAAAAATAATGCAAAATTATAAATAGTAATATGTCCACGTGGGCACATATATACCTTTAAAATACACTATTAAATAGTTTAGGGGTAAAAAATACGGTATTAAATATTATAGGGAGGTAATAGGTCCTTATAAAAGTTTAGTATCGCAACAGCGAATCCGACCAAGTTGAGGTTTTTGTCAGACCTTTATCCCTATTTTCTATTTCACTTGTTTTAGTAGTGTTGATTTGACATTTCACATTGCAAGCCATTTAGTTAAGAAATACATTTATTAATTAATATATTTTTAAAAGATAATACACTTCTTAAATATTTTATTTAATGTCATTTATAAATGTCCTTATTTGTCTAATATAAATTTTTAATTTTGGATAATTAATTTTAATTTTAAAATTTGATATATGACCTTATGATTGTCCTTGTGCAACCAAACAATGCACTTGTAATTACACTATGATAAACAAACGGATCATTGTAATTACTAGATTGTGAAATTATGTTAGGCTAATAATTAAACCAATTCTAATTACCAAGTGATTTTTCAAATAGACCCTTAGTGCGGGCGTGTTTAATGAAATTAGATATGAATATTTACCTATGAAATCAGCAGATAACTTGAGTTTGCAACCTTGAACTATAGCATAATCTTAGGTTTGCAACCTTACTATCGTATTGTTTGTATCCTAATTTCTTCAATTGATAATCAAATATTGATATTGGTTTCAAGTTTTGTTGCGTAATCATTGCTAAAATTACTTATATTTTCAACATAGTGATTTACTACACAACTTTCAAGATTTGACTCTCTCAATAATACTTAGGGATTGTTTGGAAAGCCACTATGTGATTAGATTTGGTGTAATTGAGTGTAATTAGAAATTACATTGTCTAACATGTTTGGTTGACCATGTAATTACTTGATCAATGGGTAATTGGGTGTCATTGACGGAGAATAATTACACTTTCCAATTCTTAAGAAGAAGCTATGAATTGTTGGTAATTAAATTACATCGAGTAATTACAAGCTGATTACTTTTTAATTTCTTCCTTTTACGTTTATTTTTAATTTATTTTAGTTCTATTATATTAAATTCTTTTTTATTTTTATTATTCTAAAAATATATATTTTCTATTTTTTGTTATTTATATATAATTTTTTTCTCATTCTCAACTTTTACTTATATGTTTATTTATATTATTTATATTTATTTATTTATTTATTTATTCTATGTTTACTTTTTTTATTAGCGTAGTTTTGTTAGTATTTTAATTTTTAAATTGAAGAAAAAATCATTGTTAAATAAAGTTATAGATTTACGTAGTTCATTTATTTTAAATCACATTTATGTACGTTATGTTGAAATTTGACATAAGAGTATTATATTAAATTTCTTTTCGAATTTGGAACTTATGTTACATTTTCAATTTTTTTTTTTAGTAGTATTGACTTGATATTTCAAATTACAAGTCATTTAATTTTTTGTTAGACTTGATAGATTATCTTTTTGTCAAATATTTTCATAATTTATGACATTATATTTATAATTTTAGTCTTTCTATAAACGTGTATTTTATGATGTTCATACAAATCTTGTACTTTTAGTTTTTATTATTAATTTAATTAATATATGCTAATTTGAAAAACATAAATCATTTTTTATAATATTAGTTATGAACATATGTTTGTTGATTAACATATTTTCAAAACATATATAAAATATATTTTAAATATTTAATTCAATATCACTTATAAATTCTCTTATTTGTCTAATATATTTTTTAAATTTTTTGGATAATTAACATTTATTCTTAAAATTTAATATAACCTTATGATTACAATTGTGCAACAAAACAATACATTTGTAATATACACTATAATTATATTGTGACAAACAAACATGTCAATGTAATTACTAGGTTGTATAATTACTAGGCTGATAATTACTACCCTAGTAATTACACCAATTTCAATTACTTAGTGGCTTTCCAAACAGACCCTTAACAAATTGTATTGAACTTCTACTAAAATCAGTTCTTCTGGACTTAACTATATTTTCTTTGAGTAGCGAAGCGCTTAGATATATAGTGTTTTGCACTCGTCACTTCCACCACTAAGCTACCCCCATCAAATTATTGCAAGGATGTGCAAATAGTATTATATATAACTGTATCAAGCAACATTTTGCCTACATATTCTGATGAAGGGTGTTCACCTGACAACTCTCACCACATTGTAGCTCTGCTCCTACTAATAGTTGATAATCACACGTATAAGAAATTGAAATTGATTTTTTCTAGATTACTCATTGAGGTGTAAATGGATGCACAACTATCAGACGAAGTGATCTTTAAGAGTGAGATATGGTTGCTCATGAAACAAAAAAGTGCAATATGATTGGATACCCACACAATATAAGTTTTGCAAAAAAGTATGTTTATGATAAACATGTTTGTAGGTCAAAGAAGATGTTTTAACCCATTTTTTTAAGAAGCAAAAATGAAAATGCTCTATCAGTAAAAGACTAAACTATTACCAAAAAAAGAAGCGACTACCTTACTTAAGCAATTATCAAATCGATCTTTGAAGGACAAGATCTTTTTTTATGGTTGACACCTCTTGGAAATCAAACCGGAAAGAGAATTGATGAAAGTTCGTACAATGGTAGCTCTTGACCGGTAATAGATAGCTGCTAGAAAGAATGACTTTAGAAGAACTTGGTTGGCTTTTCCTTTGTTGTAAATAAGAATAAGTAAAGCCCAAGCCCAATCCCAAGGATTGGTAGTGTAATGTCACGACCCAACCCACCGGGCCGTGCGGGCACCTACTCTAACACCTAAATAGGAGAACTCTTGATTCCCAAACGGTTGAAAATGTGCCGAAAATTAAGAAAACTGGAAATAAAAGGAATTTCAAGAGGTTTTTATATAATAAAGAGTTTTAAACAAAACAAAGTTAAATTTACAAAATTTATAACACCCCCAAGGATCTAGTCTAAACAGGTACAAGAGCTTCTAATATTACAAGGTATAAATACAGCAACTAGTGACACAGCTTCCACCACAGGTAAGGAAAAGTAGAAGCTGTTGGAGATTGTCTTTGTCTTCACCCATGAAACATCACTGACCCTGCAACCAGACTATGCCCAGAGGCATAGTAGGAGTGGTATCAGTACAAACCACAGGTACTGGTAGGCATCATCGGTCAACCCGATGCCCACCGCATAAAATTAAAAAATCAACCAGCAGGAAACATGCAATAGGAAAGTACACCCCTCAACCTTTACCATTATCATATACCTTAAGCGTACTAGCACACTTGACTCTAACCCCCTTAGTCTAGAACCTTGCATCGCTCTGCTCTTGATCATATCTTAATAGTTCTAACTCGTAAGGGAGTTCCCGAATACAGCCACTACCAACCCGGACAACTACTTCCGGCATACCCTCATTTCTTCTGCATCACAATTTAACCCTTGACTACACAGTATACCCTATCCAGGCTCGCTAACCGTT